CATTTGCCAGTCCTTCCTTTTCCATCAAACAGACACATCTAGTCGACTGCTGCTAGATCCTGCCTAATGGCCCCAAAATTGGCCCTGTTCCAGTTTATAATCTTAACCCATGGATCTGTCTTATCTTTTTGCCACAACTACATTGAAACCAAGAGAGTCATGGTCACTGGACCCAAAGTGCTCTCTGATTGACACTTGAGTCACTTGCCTGACTCATTTTGCAAGAGGAGGTCCAGCGTTGCACCCTCCCAAGTAGGGCTCTCTACCTATTGATTTAGGAAACTTTCTTGGACACATTTGACGAATTCCACCCCATCCAGGCCTTTTACACTTTGGGTGGCCTAGTCAGTACATGGGAAATCAAAACCTTCAACTAAAACAATCTGTTATTCCTACAATAGATAAAAGGGGGTGGCCATGGATAGCCACATGGTCCCAAGCTATGCCTGCCTCTTTGTAGGATACGTGGAACAGTCCCTCTTGCAATGCTACACTGGCCCTATCCCCCACCTCTTCCTCCGTTACATCAATGACTATATCGGCGCCGCCTCATGCTCCCATGAGGATCTCAAGCAGGTCAGCCACTTCACTAACACCTTCCACCCCAACCTTAAGTTCACCTGGACCATCTTGGATACCTCTCTCTCCTTCCTGGACCTCTCTTTTTCCACCTCTGGCAACCACCTGGAAACTGATATCCATTTCAAGCCTACCGACTCCCACAGCTACCTAGGATACACCTCCTCTCATCCACCTTCCTGCAAAAATGCCATCCCCTATTCCCAATTCCTTTGCTTCTGCCGAGATGTGGCATTCGACTCCCAGGCATCCCAGATGTCCTCGTTTTTCAAGGACTGCAACTTCCCCTCCACAGTGGTCGAAAACGCCCTTGGCCGTGTCTCTCACGTTTCCCACAACTCATCCCTCACACCCCCTCCCTCCAATAACAACCAAAATAGAATCCCCCTCATCCTCACATACCACGCCACCAACTTCCGGATCCAACGCATCATCCTCTGGCACTTTCGCCATCTGCAATCCGACCCCACTACCAAAGATATTTTTCCCTCCCTGTCCTTATCTGCCTTCCGGAGGGACCACTCTCTCTATGACTCCCTTGTCCGCTCCTCACTCCCCACCAGCCCCACCACCCCCAGCACTTTTCCCTGCAACCGCAGGAAGTGCTACACCTGCCCCTACACCTCCCCCCTCACCCCCATCCCAGACCCCAAGAAGACCGTCCACATCAAACAGATGTTCACCTGCACTCATGCTAATGTGGTATACTGTATCTGCTGTTCCCGATGTGGTCTCCTCTACTTCGGGAAAACCAAGCAGAGGCTTGGGGACCACTTTGTGGAACACCTACGCTCGGTGCGTGACAAACGACTGCATCTCCCAGTCACAAACCATTTCAACTCCCCCTCCCACTCCTTGGACGACATGTCCATCCTGGGCCTCATTCAGTGCCGTGACGATGCCACCCGAAGGTTGCAGGAGCAGCTTGGGATTTCGCTTGGGAACCCTGCAGCCCATTGGTATCAATGTGGACTTCACAAGCTTCAAAATCTCCCCTCCCCCAACCGCATCCCAAAACCAGCCCAGCTCATCCCTGCCTTCTTAACCTGTCCGTCCTTCCTCCCACCTATCCCCTCCTCCCACCTCAAGCCCCACCCCCACCTTCAACCTACCAGCCTCATCCCGCCTCCTTGACCTGTCCATCCTCCCTGGACTGACCTATCCCCTCCCTAACTCCCCACCTACACTCAACTTTACTGGCTCCATCCCTGCATCTTTAACCTGTCTGTCCACTCTCCACCTATCTTCTCCTTTATCCATGTTCCATCCGCCTCCCCCTCTCTCCCTATTTATTTCAGAATCCCCTTCCCCTCCCCCATTTCTGAAGAAGGGTCCAGACCCAAAATGTCAGCTTTCCTGCTCCTCTGATGCTGCTTGGCCTGCTGTGTTCATCCAGTTCTACACCTTGTTATCTCAGATTCTCCAGCATCAGCAGTTCCCACTATCTCTGTTATTCCTACAGGTATCTGCAATCTCTACACATCTGCTCCTCTAGTACCCATTGGTTATTTGAAGGTCTACAATACAGTTCCAAATTAGTGGCCATCCTCTTCTTGTTTTGAAGTTGTAAACATATGGCTTCATTTGATGACCCTTTAAGAATATCCTTCATCCACGCACTGTTGTTATATCCTCCCTTCTCAAAAGGCAACTCCCCCTCCTCACTTACTTGTACTTCAGTCACGCCTGTAGCTTCTGTATCCTGGAACATTGAGCTGCCAGTCCTGCGCTTCTCTCAGCCATGTTTCTGTTATGGCTATAATATCCCAGTCCCCAGAGCCAATCCATGCTCTGAGCTCATCTGTCTTAACAGTCAGACCTTGAGCGTTGAAATAAACGCACTTTAAACCAGAAGTCTTTCCCTCCCTTTACTATGCCCCTGGCTATCCTGAATAGTAAACTTGCTCTCATTGGCTAATGTATTTTGTCTGACTTCTCAATGGCCTCTCTCTTTTTCAGTGTCGGACTCCCCTGCCAAACTAGATTAAACCTTGCTGGGTAAAACTAGCAAATCTCCCTGCAAGGATATTGGACTCCCTCCAGTTCAAGTGCAACCCATCCCTCTTGTACAGGTCACCTTTAGCTGAGAAGAAATTGCAGTGATGCAAAAACTGAAAACACTGCCCCCTACACCAGCTCCTCAGCCACACATTCATCTGGCCTATCTCTCTATTTCTATCCTCACTGGCATGTGGTACTGGGAGTAATTCGGAGATCACTGCCCTTGAGGTCCTGCTTTTTCACTTCTTACCTAACTCCCTATACTCGTGTCTCAGGAACCCATCCCTTTGTCTACCTATGTCATTTATACTGATGTGTGCAATGACCTCTGGTTGTTCACCTTCTCCCTTCAGAATGTTCTGCAACTGCTCAGAGACATCCTTGACCCTGGCACCTGGGAGGCAATATACCATCCTGGTATCTCTTCTGCGGCCACAGAATCTACTGTGTGTCCCCTTCACAACTGAGTCTGCTATTAGTATTAGTCTGTCCAACTGCAACGTTTCCCTCTGAGCCTCTGAGCTAGTCACAGTGCCACTGACCTGACTGCTGTTGCTAGCCCCTGACAGGTCATCACCCCCAACAGTATCCAAAGTAGTATGCCTGTTATTGAGGGTAATGACCACAGGGGAACCTTGCACTATCTGCCTTCCCCATTTACCTCTTTTGGTGGTCACCCCGCTGCCTGCAGCCTGTGCATTAGAAGTGATCACTTCACTATAGTTCTTATTAATGATGTTCTCTGCATCCCAGATTATCCTGAGTGCATCCAGTTCCAGCTCCTGTTCCCTAACGCGGTCTGTCCGGAGCTGCAACCGGGAGCACTTCTCACAGGTGTAGCTACCAGGGACACTGGAAGTCTCCCTGATCTTCCACATCCTGCAAGAGGAGCATTCCACTGGCCTAACTGCCATCCCTACTGCTTTCAGTCAAGACAGAAAGAAAGTAGAATTAAAGACCCCTTCCCTGCTCTTACCTGGCCCTCCGCTAAGTCTCCTCACGCCAAAACCTCGAGCAAAGGCCTAAGCTCTTCAACTCTAACACTGACACACTCTCCTAATGGCTGCTTCCTTGTACACTTTTAAAAGAAAATTTTCTTGAGCACATTTGACAAATTCTTCACCATCAAAACTTTTAACATGATGGTAGTCCCAGTCAGTGTTTGGAAAATCAAAATCCACCATTATTACAATCTTATTACGCTTACATATATCTCAGATCTCCCTACATATTTGTTTGTTAATTTTTCTCTTATTATTGGGTGACTTTTCGTACAATCCCATCAAAGTGATTTTTCCTTTCTTATTTGTAATTCTACCCATATATTTTCACTGGACAATTTATCAGAAATATATTCCCTAATTACAGCAGTAATGTATTCCTTAACCAAAAAAAGCCATCCTCCACGTTCCTTGCCTCCTTTCCTAACCTTCCTATGGCATTGAACTGTCAGCCTTGTCCATCTCTCAGCCAAATTTCTGTAACAGCTATGACTTCCCAATCCCACGTTCTTAAACATGCCTTGAGTTCATCAGCCTTACCTGTAAGACCCTTTGCATTGAAATAAGTGAGATTTAGTTCTTCAGAGTTACTGCATACTCTGACTCTCTCATGTCTTTCTTTTCTAATTGACGTGCTCTCCTCACATTCAGAACCTACCCCATCAATGCTTCCATTTGTACTGCGACTTAGAATTCCTCCACTCACCTTGTCTATCAGTATAAACTCTCCCTTAATAGAATGAGCAAATATCCCTGCTAAGATCATAGAATTCCTACCGTGTGGAAACAGGCCCTTCGGCCCAACAAGTCCACACCAACCCCCAGAGCATCCCACCCAAACCCATCCCCTTATAACCCACCTAATCTATACATCCCTGAACACCACGGGCAATTTAGCATGGCCAATCCACCTACCCTGCACATCTTTGGACTGTGGCAGGAAACCGGAGCACCCGGAGGAAACCCACGCAGACACGTGGTGAATGTGCAAACTCCACACAGACAGTTTCCCGAGGGAGGAAGCAGCCATGCTAACCGCTGAGCCTCGTCCCTTTTCAGTTTAGGTTAGATCCATCCTTTTTGAACAGGTCTTTTCTGACACAAAATGCCTAATATGCACTTAACCATTAACAGCGATGGGCAGAGCCAGCACCAAAAAACCCAAGTAAATAATGTAGTGTTTTCCTCATTTTCTACCGAGCTCCTCAGAGTGTCAGTGTGGTAACTGGAACATAGATTCTCTGGATCTTAAGTCAGAGTGTGTCCACTTGTTAATAAGGTCAAAAAAAACTTACGCATAGTCATTCATACACACTCAGAAAACACGCACACACATGCATACTGATTCAGGTACATGCATATTTACAAACACACAAACACTGTCATACCTACACAGACACATTCGCATACATTACTTACCCGAGTACTGTTTGCTCGGTAAGATTAGTGAATGCAAAACCTGCTCGGGAAGAATTGTATGATCTTCGAATCTATTGACGTCGGAGAGTCAACTGTCCGTTTAACCAGCAAGACGAAGCCAAGTAATAATCAGCTCGAGTGATGATTAACTCTAGAATCGCGCCCCGTATTCACATAAAGGGCGGCACCTCCTCCTGTCCCGGAGGAGCTCAGGGAATGATGAGGAACGCGCTGCTCTTGGTACTTGGAGCCCTGCTCCCGTTGCAGGCCCTCAACGCCGAAGAGGAGACAACAAGAGCTCTGTACGGAGGTCTGTCCACTGTCTGAGTCGCCAGCCTGTGGGAGGGGGGAAGGCCACACGGCCTTTCGAATGTTTTCCGCCAATGGAGGTGGTAACGGATAGTGAAGCGGTATTTTAATTCTGCGCGCTTTGCCTGCAACACCGTCCCCCCCGCCCCCAGCACTAAATAACCCTGCCCCGATCGAAAGCCCCTCAGAGTCACATCAATGAGGTTGTGGGGGGAGGGGAAGTGTTGAAGGGTTGGGGACTCTATTCCTCCTTGTGTCAAGCCGTGATTTCGAACGACCCTCCTCCCCTGAGTTGTCTCGCTGGAAACAGACTGTCACACTTTCATCACGAGTTCTGAGTTCTCCCTTCAGACGAATATTCTAGGGTTTTCCAATGGCCTGACTGCCATGATTCCAGCTGGGAAAAGAGCTGGACGTGGGGACCCTCTGGAATCCCCGGCTGGAGGAGAATCCAAAGGGATTACCAGAGAATTTGAATGCTCCTCTGGCACCCTCGCAAAGTCTCCAATGAAATCGGAGGCTGGTTCGAATGAAGTGATGAATAGATGTTTCTCAGGGAATGGATAACAGAACTGCGTACAGAGCTCCAAGTGTGGTCTAACTGAAGAATATGGAGATGAGAATTGTGCACACAGTGCGCCCAGTGTCGTCTGACTGAGGAATATGGAGATGGGAACTCTGCCCTGGGCTCCCAGTGTGGTCTGAGGGATAAGGAGATGGGAACTGTGCACAGGGCTCTCAGTCTGGTCTAACTGATTGATATGGAGATGGAAACTGAGCACAGAGCTCCCAGTGTGGGCCTAACCGAAGGATATAGAAGGGGGAACTGTGCACAATGCTCCCAGTACGGTCCAACTTAGGCATTTAGATAATAGAACTGTGCACACAGTGCTTCTAGTGTATCTCAGCCAACGGACATGGGAATGATGAAACGCATAATGCAGATTAGTTGATGGGAGAAGCAGGATAAAAACAGGACGGGGAAAAGGACAGAAGGCCATTCTCTCGTGAATCCCCACTGAGGATCACAGGCCAATGACCTCTCCCTCTCTGCATTTCAGGGGCAAAATTCGGATGCCACAGAGTCGGAGGAAGATGTCGGATGGATGGCTGTGAGCCGGGGGAGATCCGGATAAGCAGCCTGTGCGTCTGGGTTTATGGCTGCTGCATCCGGTTGCGCATTGGCTGAGATTGGTTTGGGTGGGGGGTCCTTCGCTGGGGAGGGGTGGTGGAAATGACCTCGAAACAAGCTGTGTCAGAGGGTATGACCGCCATTCCCATGGACTCCCGTAATTTCAGCTCGTCAAATAATGGAGAGCCTTCAGAAATAAAATCACAGCACTGACTACCACCGCAGGTCTGTCCCTTCTTTCCCCGTAGCAACAAACATTGGGTGGGTAATTGCGAAAGTGCTGAATAAATGCCGCACTGTCGGAGGGTCAGTGCTGAGGGAGTGGGCACTGCTGCAGGGTCAGTGCTGAGGGAGTGGGCGCTGTCCGAGGGTCAGTGCTGAGGGAGTGGGCGCTGTCCAAGGGTCAGTGCTGAGGGAGTGGGCACTGCTGCAGGGTCAGTGCTGAGGGAGTGGGCACTGCTGCAGGGTCAGTGCTGAGGGAGTGGGCGCTGTCCAAGGGTCAGTGTTGAGGGAGTTCTGCACTGTCCGAGGGTCAGTGTTGAGGGAGTTCTGCGCTGTCCGAAGGTCA